TATTTCCAGTGAAAGGTCATATAAACACTGACGAGGCTGATGAAAAGACACGATTAAATTAAAACCTGCTGAATGATAAAACAACTCAGACAAGAGTTCTTACCCTCCTGGTCGGCAGTGAAGGATTCTGGTCCATGTAGTTGTCCAGTGAACAGTCTGCGTCCGTTCTGTAGTCTGGTGTTGACAGCCAGTGGGCCCTCCAGGAGTGGAGGGGGTCCTTTGAATCTGACAGACAGACAATAACTATTTAACCCTTAAACTGACAGACAGACAATAACTATTTAACCCCTAAACTGACAGACAGACAATAACTCTTGAACCCCTAAACTGATTCCCTCTGATAACACCAACCTGTCTCTATACACAACCCTTCACCTCCAACCAAATCCCTAATAACATCTCCTTTCTCCCGAACAACATGTAAGGCTCAGAGTCTATGGGTGAGGGGAAGATGTGTGTGTGTGTGTGTGTGTGCGTGTGTTTGTGACATCAAATGTTATTTGTCACATGCGCCGAATACAACAGGTGTAGACCTTACAGTGAAATGCTTACTTACAAGCCCTTAACCAACAATGGCATTTAAAAGTTTAAAAAATAGTTAAGAAATTATTTACTAAATAAACTCAAATTTAAAAAAAGTAACACAATAAAATAACGAGGCTATATACAGGGGGTACCGGTACCGAGTCAATGTGCAGGGGCACAGGTTAGTCTAAGTAATTGAGGTAATATGTACATGTAGGTAGAGGTAAAGTGACTACGCATAGATAATAAACAGAGTAGCAGCAGCGTAAAAAAAGGGTGTCAATGCAAATAGTCCGGGTGGCCATTTGATTAACTGTTCAGCGGTCTCATGGCTTGGGGGTAGAAGCTGTTAAGGAGCCTTTTGGACCTAGACTTGGCGCTCCGGTACCGCTTGCCGTTCGGTAGCAGAGAGAACAGTCTATGACTAGGGTGGCTGGAGTCTTTGATACTTTTTAGGGCCTCTGACACCGCCTGGTATAGAGGTCCTGGATGGCAGGAAGCTTGGCCCTAGTGATGTGCTGGGCCATACGCACTAACCTCTGTAGTGCCTTGCGGTCGGATGCCAAGCAGTTGCCATACCAGGCGGTGTTGCAACCAGTCAGGATGCTCTTGATGGTGCAAATGTATAACTTTTTGAGGATCTGAGGACCCATGCCAAATCTTTTCAGTCTCCTGAGGGGGAATAAGCATTGTCGTGCCCTCTTCACGACTGTCTTGGTGTGTTTGGACCATGATAGTTTGTTGGTGATGTGGACACCAAGGAACTTGAAGCTCTTGACCTGCTCCACTACAGCCCCATCGATATGAACGGGGGCGTGCTCGGCCCTCCTTTTCCTGTAGTCCACGATCATCTCCTTTGTCTTGATCACATTGAGGGATATGTTGTTGTCCTGGCACCACACTGCCAGGTCTCTGACCTCCTCCCTTTGGCTGTCTCATTATTGTCGGTGATCAGGTCTCCCCTGTTGTGTTGTCAGCAAACTTAATGATGGTGTTGGAGTCATGCTTGGCCATGCAGTCATGGGTAAACAGGGAGTACAGGAGGGGACTGAGCACGCACCCCTGAGGGGCCCCCGTGTTGAGGATCAGTGTGGCAGATGTGTTGTTGCCTACCCTTACCACCTGGGGGCGGCCCGTCAGGAAGTCCAGGATCCAGTTGCAGAGGGAGGTGTTTAGCCCCAGGGTCCTTAGCTTAGTGATGAGCTTTGAGGGCACTATGGTGTTGAACGCTGAGCTGTAGTCAATGAACAGCATTCTCACATAGGTGTCCCTTTTGTCCAGGTGGGAAAGGGCAGTATGGAGTGCAATAGAGATTGCATCATCTGTGGATCTGTTGGGGTGGTATGCGAATTGGGGTGGTATGCGAATTGGAGTGGGTCTAGGGTTTTCTGGGAAAATGGTGTTGATGTGAGCCATGACCAGCCTTTCAAAGCACTTCATAGCTACAGACATTGTGTTACGGGTCGGTAGTCATTTAGGCAGGTTACCTTGGCGTTCTTGGGCACGGGGACTATGGTGGTCTGCTTGAAACAGGTTGGTATTACAGACTCGGTCAGGGACAGGTTGAAAATGTCAGTGAAGACACATGCCAGTTGGTCAGCGTATGCTCGGAGTACACGTCCTGGTAATCCGTCTGGCTCTGCGGCCTTGTAAATGTTGTCCTGTTTAAAGGTCTTACTCACATCGGCTACAGAGAGCGTGATCACACAGTTGTCCGGAACAGGTGGTGCTCTTATGCATGCTTCAGTGTTGCTTGCCTCAAAGCGAGCATAGAAGTCATTTAGCTCGTCTTCCCTTCGTAGTCCGTAAAAGCCTGCAAGCCCTGCCACATCCGACGAGCGTCAGAGCCGGTGTAGTGTGTGTGTGTACTTACACGTAAGGCTGAGGGTCTATAGGTGAGGGGAGGAGGTAGATCCCCACAGCCACAGATAGCAGGACCACTGATAGCGCTCTCTTCCAAAGCCTGAAGACAGGAGACAACACAACAGATATCACATACCACATATACACTGAGTCAAAATTTGAGATTTTTGGTTCCAATCGCCGTGTCTTTGTGAGACGCGGTGTGGGTGAACAGATTATCTCCACAGGTGTATTTCCCACCGTAAAGCATGGAGGAGGAGGTGTTATGGTGTGGGGGTGCTTTGCTTGTGACACTGTCTGTGATTTATTTAGAATTCAAGGCACACTTAACCAGCATGGCTACCGCAGCATTCTGCAGCGATACGCCATCCAATCTGGTTTGGGCTTAGTGGGACCATCATTTCTTTTTCAACAGGACAATGACCCAACACACCTCCAGGATGTGTAAGGGCTATTTTACCAAGAAGGAGAGTGATGGAGTGCTGCATCAGATGACCAGGCCTCCACAGTCCCCCGACCTCAACCCAATTGAGATGGTTTGGGATGAGTCGGACCGCAGAGTGAAGGAAAAGCAGCCAACAAGTGCTCAGCATATGTGGGAACTCCTTCAAGACTGTTGGAAAAGCATTCCAGGTTAAGCTGGTTGAGAGAATGCCAAGAGTGTGCAAAGCTGTCATCAAGGCAAAGGGTGGCTATTTGAAGAATCTCAAATATAAAATATATTTTGATTTGCTTAACACTTTTTTGGTTACTACATGATTCCATATGTGTTATTTCATAGTTTTGATGTCTTCACTATTATTCTACAATGTAAAAAATTAAGAAAAACCCTGGAATGAGTAGGTGTGTCCAAACTTTTGACTGGTACTGTATATATACACACACAGTATATACTGATAACATGTCATCTCTCTCACCATCAAACAACAACTGAACCTTAACCCTAACAGCCCCTCTCTCACCATCAAACAACAACTGAACCTTAACCCTAACCGCCCCTCTCTCACCATCAAACAACAACTGAACCTTAACCCTAACAGCCCCTCGCTCTCATATCTTGTAACAAGGAGATACAGTGATGTATCACCTCCTCTCTTCTGTCTCTAGTTAATAAATCAACTGTGTTGTTGTGTCATACCTCCATACCACCCCCCAGCCCTTATCTGGCTGACTATGGAATTACCTCCATACCTCCACCCCCCACCCCCCCCCCCCCCCAGCCCTTATCTGGCTGACTATGGAATTACGAAAGACTAGCTCAGCTGGTAGAGCACGGCGCTTGTAACGCCAAGGTAGTGGGTTCGATCCCCGGGACCACCCATACGGCGCTTGTAACGCCAAGGTAGTGGGTTCGATCCCCGGGACCACCCATACGGCGCTTGTAACGCCAAGGTAGTGGGTTCGATCCCCGGGACCACCCATACGGCGCTTGTAACGCCAAGGTAGCGGGTTCGATCCCCGGGACCACCCATACGGCGCTTGTAACGCCAAGGTAGTGGGTTCGATCCCAGGGACCACCCATACACAAAAATGTATGCACGCATGACTGTAAGTCGCTTTGGATAAAAGCGTCTGCTAAATGGCATATTATTACTATGATAGAGCAAGGTATTTCCACACCATCTTTAATCTCCTCTGAGCTGCAGTTATTGGGTAATATTCTAATAGGCAGTGGTGGAAAAAGTACCCAATTGTCGTACTTGAGTAAAAGTATAGATACCTTAATAAACAGTTACTCAAGTAAAAGTGAAAGTCACCCGGTAAAATACTAATTGAGTAAAAGTCTAAAAGTATTTGGTTCTAAATATACTTAAGTATCAAAACTAAATGTAATTGCTAAAATATACTTAAGTACCAAAAAGTAAAAGTATAAATCATTTCAAATTCCTTATATTAAGCAAACCAGAAGGCACCACGTGTTCTCTTGATAAGTGCATGAATTTGACAATTTTCCTGTCCTGCTAAGTATTCAACATGTAACAAGTACATTTGTGTGTCAGGGAAAATGTATGGAGTAAAAAGTACATTATTTTCTTTGGGAATGTAGTGAGGTAAAAGTTGTCAAAAGTACAGATACCAAAAAAAAAACTACTTAAGTAGTACTTTAAATTATTTGTACTTAACACCACTGCTAATAGGCTACAATCAAAGTTTAATTTCAATAGTTTCATAACAGGTCTTTTTCCCAGGTGAGTTGCACTTGTGTAACAATATCTTTATCATAATCAATTAACAACTCGGACAAAAACGTGAACAACTCAAAATTCTACCAAAACATGACTGCGGTCTTTCATCCAACAGTAGCCTATCTAAACTATATATCTACCAAAACATGACTGCGGTCTTTCATCCAACAGTAGCCTATCTAAACTATCTATCTACCAAAAAGATAGTTCATCTGCCAACTTGTTTTTGAGTGACAAATACACTCATGCTTAAAATCGTTCACGCTACTTCAATATTGTTCTATCACGAAGCAAAACAACACCGGTAAAAACGTACATGGTGAATCCCTCTGCAGATCGCGCCCGTCCGGTTAGATCACAGCCTGGTTGGATCCGGTCTCCGGTGAGACTCGCCGCCATGAAGCAAAGCTGCTGGCTGGTCTGGTGAGCGCCACGGAGTAGTGATGGGTCATGCGCACAAGCATCGGCTCTGAGAGCCGGCTCTTTGTAGTGAATCAGAAGAGCCGGCTCGCATCGAGTGAGAGCCGGCTCCCAGTTTTTTGCCCATTCGCTGCTTAGGTTTCACTTTCACAGAGGTCTGTTATGATTGGCCAGCATGGCGACCAGCATGCGGCATTCACGTGAGAATTAAGGATGTGTAAACAGAGAGGGGGCGGGGCAGACACACCACTTGACTCCACTGCAAGTGAAGAGAGAGACAGAGCGGACTGAGGAGCGTGTGTGCGTCTTGCATTGTCGTGTCGTTTAACTATGAGTGACACTAGAAAGCGAAGCAGCATCTGGCTGCAGTTTAAAGATATTGGGAACAAGAAAGCAGAGTGCCTTCACTGCAAAACGAAGGTCACTATAAGAGCAGGTTCCACCACAAACCTGCATAGACATACAAGAACTGTCCATCCTACAGTGCAGTTAGAGGAGAGAGGGCAAGCCAGCTCACCATCTACTGATCCTGGTGTGTCTCATACCAGAACAACAGCTGCTGTAACGTCTACTGCCATCCCCATGCGTGCAAGTATAACCTCTCCTACTGCAACTCAAAGCAAAATAAGTCAGTTTTTACCTAAACTGATGACCCCAGCCAAACAGCACAGTATTGATGATGAGTTGGCTAAAATGGTAGCTTCTGATTTTCAACCCTTTTCCATTGTGGAGGACAAAGGAATGAAAAACTTTGTCAAAGCCCTAAATCCCACATACACTCTACCCAGTAGAAAAACACTTTCCCAAACAATGATCCCAAAACTATATGACACAGAACGTGCATTATGGCAAGAAAGGGTGACAAAAGCTCCATCAGTTTGCCTGACAACTGACTGCTGGACCTCCAGAACAACCTGCTCTTTCATGTCTGTCACTTGCCACTTTATTGAAGATTACAAGATGACATCTTGCCTTCTGGACTGCTTCGAGTTCACCGACAGACACACTGCAGAAAACTTGGCAGTGGAGCTACTAAGAGTGGCAAAAGAGTGGCAAGTAGAGGACAAAGTGGTGTGCTGTGTGAGTGATAATGCTGCAAACATCACCAAAGCCATAAAAGTTTTGAAGTGGACCCATCACCCATGTCTGGCGCATACACTAAACCTGGTGGTTAGAGATGCTCTGAAGGTGATCAAAACAACCGTGGATAAGGTGAAGGCTGTTGTGGAGTTTTTCCACAAAAGCACAGTAGCAGCACAGAAGCTAAAGTCCACACAGCGCCAAATGGGGATTCCTGAACTGAGGCCCAAACAAGAGTGTGCCACCAGGTGGAACTCAACATTTGATATGTTGAAACGAATGCTTGAAATAAAAGATGCCATCATCTCCACCCTGGCCCTCATCAACGCATCTATTGAGCCATTAAGCCAAGAGGAATGGGAGCTGGTGAAAGAGGTCTGCGCCGTCCTGCAACCATTCCAGGAGGTGACTGTGGAGATAAGTGCAGACAGGTACCTAGAACCATTGAAGCATTGTTTTCTCTACTACTATTCAGTCACTATTATACATTGCAAACACAACACATACAGTATAATGCATCACGTATAATATGCTAAAAAACTAAATTCTAAAAGTTGCTGTTTTCTCTCCTTCAGCTATGTCACAGCCTCGAAAATGCTCCTGCTTTGCAAAGGTCTGCAGCTGGTGACAGCCGAGAACCAATGGACAGTAACTGTGCAGAAAGTGAAGGAATTAGTTGCAGCTCTTTGTTCAGCCATGGACCGCAAATTTCTGCGGATGGAGTACAACACTGTCCTTTCAGAAACTACCTTATTGGATCCAAGGTTTAAAAAACTTGCCTTCAGTGATCGTAGAGCTGTTGATGAAGCTCTTCAGAGGATTAGTGCAGCAGCAGCAGCAAAATGCACCCCCAGCAGCCAGCCAGCTCCACCATTACAGGGCCAAGTGGAGGAGGAGCAGCAAACCTCTGCTGTTTGGAGGCTTTTTGATGACAGAGCTACAGGAGATGCTTCAAGGAGAAATCCGACAGCTGATGCTATAATGGAGGTGAGGAGCTACCTTGAGGAGCCCCTCATCCAGAGAGCAGAAGACCCACTGAGCTGGTGGCAGGCCAAGGCCTCAGTCTTTCCACTCCTGGTGAAGGTGATGGAGGGGAGACTATGTATTGTTGCCACATCAGTTCCTTCTGAGAGAATCTTCTCCAAAACAGGGCAGATACTCACGGAGAGGCGAAATCGTATCAGGCCTATCAGCCCATCCAAGCTGAGGCATCTGATCTTCCTGAATGCCAACCTGCCCTGAGGACTAATGCTGTTTGCTGGAGTTTGGTTCTGGTTTTGATTCTGTTCTGTGGATTTGTTTGAAGTTTATTGTTAATTTGTGCAATAAAAAAGTTTAATTGAAATAAACAAATGTAAGAGTGGTTTTGTCACAGAATAAATGCACAGAATTAGGCATTATAAGGTCTCTCATAAAAACACTGAAAGCAAAAGGGTTTTCAACACATAAACCATGATTTTTTTTCAAAGTTAAGGTAAAATATAGGCTACAAAAGATCCTAAATAAAGAGCCGTTCGGGAGTCGAAAGAGCCGGCTCTTCTTTGGGAGCCGAGTCAAAAGAGCCGGCTCTCAGAAAAGAGCCGAACTTCCCATCATTACCACGGAGTGTGTGTGCTGTTCGGAGAGAGTGTGTGTGTGTGTTGCCTTGAGATTATTCATAGTGAGTTCATCCAGGGGACAGATGACTGGAGGGGAGGTGTGAGACGGGCTGGGGGAGGTGTGAGATGGGCTGGGGGAGGTGTGAAACGGGCTGGGGGAGGTGTGAAACGGGCTGGGGGAGAATTTGAGACGGGCTGGGGGAGAATTTGAGACGGGCTGGGGGAGGTTTGAGACGGGCTGGGGGAGGTTTCATTTGATTTGGGATCTTTGTTGTTCGTCAACTATCATGATATTGTCTGGACACTAGAGGGAGCCACCCGACAAGGCCTTGGGCCTGAGCTTAATGGCTCCCTCAGTCTGCACAGTCTGTTTACAGATCAACTTTTATCTGTCACATGCTTCGGAAACAACAGGTGTAGACTAACGGTGAAATGCTTACTGAAGGGCCCTTCCCAACAATGCAGAGGAAAAGACTAACAGGAGGAATAGCTTAGTGGGGCGGCAGGTAGCTTAGTGGTTAAGAGCGTTGTGCCAGTACCGAAAGGTCGCTGGTTCTAATCCCAGAGCCGACTAGGTGAAAAATCTGTCGATGTGCCCTTCAGCAAGGCACTTAACCTAAATCGCTCTGGATAAGAGCGTCTGCTAAAATGTCAAATAAATAAATATACAATGAGTAACGTTAACTTGGCACAGTGTACCAGTACCCTACTAGGTCATTGAGGTAGTAGATACAGTGGGGGGGGAAAGTATTTAGTCAGCCACCAATTGTGCAAGTTCTCCCACTTAAAAAGATGAGAGAGGCCTGTAATTTTCATCATAGGTACACGTCAACTATGACAGACAAATTGAGAAAAAACAATCCAGAAAATCACATTGTAGGATTTTTTATGAATTTATTTGCAAATTATGGTGGAAAATAAGTATTTGGTCACCTACAAACAAGCAAGATTTCTGGCTCTCACAGACCTGTAGCTTCTTCTTTAAGAGGCTCCTCTGTCCTCCACTCGTTACCTGTATTAATGGCACCTGTTTGAACTTGTTATCAGTATAAAATACACCTGTCCACAACCTCAAACAGTCACACTCCAAACTCCACTATGGCCAAGAACAAAGAGCTGTCAAAGGACACCAGAAACAAAATTGTAGACCTGCACCAGGCTAGGAAGACTGAATCTGCAATAGGTAAGCAGCTTGGTTTGAAGAAATCAACTGTGGGAGCAATTATTAGGAAATGGAAGACATACAAGACCACTGATAATCTCCCTTGATCTGGGGCTCCACGCAAGATCTCACCCATTGGGGTCAAAATGATCACAAGAACGGTGAGCAAAAATCCCAGAACCACACGGGGGGACCTAGTGAATGACCTGCAGAGAGCTGGGACCAAAGTAACAAAGCCTACCATCAGTAACACACTACGCCGCCAGGGACTCAAATCCTGCAGTGCCAGACGTGTCCCCCTGCTTAAACCAGTACATGTCCAGGCCCGTCTGAAGTTTGCTAGAGTGCATTTGGATGATCCAGAAGAGGATTGGGAGAATGTCATATGGTCAGATGAAACCAAAATATAACTTTTTGGTAAAAACTCAACTCGTCGTGTTTGGAGGACAAAGAATGCTGAGTTGCATCCAAAGAACACCATACCTACTGTGAAGCATGGGGGTGGAAACATCATGCTTTGGGGCTGTTTTTCTGCAAAGGGACCAGGACGACTGATCCGTGTAAAGGAAAGAATGAATGGGGCCATGTATCGTGAGATTTTGAGTGAAAACCTCCTTCCATCAGCAAGGGCATTGAAGATGAAACGTGGCTGGGTCTTTCAGCATGACAATGATCCCAAACACACCGCCCGGGCAACGAAGGAGTGGCTTCGTAAGAAGCATTTCAAGGTCCTGGAGTGGCCTAGCCAGTCTCCAGATCTCAACCCCATAGAAAATCTTTGGAGGGAGTTGAAAGTCTGTGTTGCCCCAGCACAGTCCCCAAAAATACCTGTCT